TACTTTTCCCTCTCCCTGCCAGGCAGGTGTGCGGGTGAGCGGGCCGGGGTCTGGGTGGCTGCTTCCTCGCCTACCGAACCTCTCTATTCTCACTGGGAAAATGAGGATACAAATGGCAGCACCCCCTCGTCCCTAAGATCCACCGTGGGAGGGCTCTGATGGTGCCATCCTCGGGGCGGAGCAGGGGGCTAGCAGGGCAGCCCGGCCTGACACTCGCTGCCTGGGGGAGGCGCTCCAACGCAAACGCCCGCTCAACGGCTGCGGAACACAGAACGGAGTCCTGGTCTCCGTCCACGCGGTGTCGGGGACCAGACCGGGCGCCTAGGGAGCCAGGCCTCCATGGGGGCAGGGCGGGGCAGGAAGAGGAGCAGGAGCGGACGGCGCGAGCCGCGGGGCGGCGTGGCTGCGGCCGGGGGCCGAGCAAGCAGGGGGCCGAGCAGGCAGGGGGCCTCGAAGGGCGCCTGCGGACCCTCCCGGGGCTCCGCGCGGGGCAGACGGGCACAGCTTTCTGAGCGCCGGACGCGGACGGAAACGAACTTCGCGGGCAGAACTGGAACCCGGAGCCGCGAGTGGCCGTAACCAGGCAACCGGCGAGCCGCCGCGAGGTGCGCACGCGTAGCCCGCCGCGGAGGCCGGCGCATGCGCAGCCGTCTTCCGCCCGTCTCGCCTTGGAGGTAGTCCAACGGCCAAATGGGAGGGTCGCGCCTGCGCCAGGGCGCCGCTCGGGTTCTCGGCGCTGCCGAGTAGCCGTTCTCGGTGGGTGCTCCTGCTGGCCTCGGTCGTTCAGGACTGGTCCTTCACTTGGGTATGACTGAAGAACCCTTACTCTTCTCACACCCTAAGACGAGAAAGACTGGGAGAAAGAGCTGGCATAATCAGGGTGACGTCTCTGAGCCGTGCCCCGCGCACCCGGCCCAGCAGGTGGGCGAAGGGCGGGTCGCAGGGGGCGGGGCTAAGGTGCGAGGCCGAGGGGGCGGGACGAACGGATGGGCGGTGAATGACGGGGACGCGAGGGGCGGGGCGGGGGGGGGGGCGGGACGAAGGGAGGAACGGTGAAAGATTGGTCGCAGGCGAGGGGCGGGCCAACGGGGCGGACGAATAGATGGCCGGCGAAGGACCAAACGCCGGAGGGAGGCCGGGCTAACGTGCCGGGCGCCGCGTCACGGGAGCAGCTGCGGTGGGCGGGGCTGGTGGGCGTGGTCGGCAGGCGTGGCGCGCACTGACGTCGCGGTCGGACACGTCGGCGGCGCGGCGGCCGGAGCCGGATGTGCCAAGATGGCTGCTGCGGCTTTCGTGTCTTCTCTTGTCGCCGCAGCCCGGCCGGCTTCCGCCGGCGGCTCTTGAGGGGTTGGCCCAGGGGTCGCGGAGGGGCGGGGCACGAGCCGGGGTGGGCCTCGGCCGCCCTGTGGCGCGCCGGTGAGGGCCGGGGTCGGGCGGAGGGAAGTGGCCGGGCCGGGCCCAGCCCTGAGCGGACTTCGCGTCTCCGGGTGCCGCCAGGGGTCGGGCAGGGGCCCCGGGGGCGAGCAGGGGGACCTGCGGGGCCGGGGCGGGTCAGGGGCGGCCGAGCAAGCGACCCTCCTGCCGCCTTCTGCACCTTTGTCGGCCGCCTCGTCAGACTGACGTGGACCCCGCAGGTATGGCCGGCTCTGTGGCAAGTGCCTGTCCGGCCCCGCTGTGTTGACACTTGTCTTCGCCCTGGTAGCCTCGACGGAGGGAGGGTTGTGTTGGAATGGTGAAGATAGACCAGACCTGCGACTTCTCAAGGAGTACGAACATTGAGGAAATTTCTTCTAACAGTTTTGCGTGTCCTTTGCTTCGAGGGTTCTTAAGTTGTTTTGTCCTCAGCGGCTGGGAGATTTTTCCCGAGCCATGCCGGTGATGAGACAGATTTGCATTTCGTGGCAAAGTGACCGAGACGCTGCAGCGGAGGTCGGGCACTTGTGTCTCGCGTGAAGGGTTACAGGAACGTGTGATGAAGTTAGTACCGGTTTGGGGGCGAAAGTATCGTGCGGAGCGTCTGGTCGCGTCCCGGCCATTTAAAATCGGTATTTGCAGGTTCACCTAAGAACTTCTGAGTGGCTGGAGGTGGGGCACGAGCTGCTTAAGGCTGTGTTTTAAATACAGACGACGTTAACCGGGGAGGGCAGCGAGGGCAGGAAGCAAACTGAGTCACACACAGTTGCTCCAGAGCCATACTTCGGCAAGTTTCAGCACAACCGGTCTCCCTGCAGGTCCCCCCCAGCCCCCCGCCCCGTGCCTCTTCGTAGGGTTCCGGTGGCTGGTATCTTAACAGAGGTCAAAGGGGAGGCCAGAGGCAGGAGAATGCTTTCTTGTCCCTGTGATTCGTTCGGCCTAAGTAGCAGTGAGTCTCCAAACCGTACTGACCGTTTTTTCGGGGTAGCGTGCACGTTGTAGTGCTTCTTCCCTGAACGTCAGTGCGTCCTTTGGGATCTTTGCCATTTTTAGCAGTGTTTCGACTCCCCCTTCGTGTTGGTTACCGTCTAAATGTGTTTGGGGCCGTACTTGGAAAAGTTGGAGTTTGCGGTGTCTCTGTGTCAAGCGCCCCACAGCCTGACAGGGACGTGACACTCACAGCCTCCAAGAGGGACATTGTGGGCAAAGGGCAGCGTCTCCGGGGCCCTCTGGCGCTCCTGTTGGCGCAGCCTCAGTTTGTGGCGGCCGCTCCAAAGGTGCTCTGAGCATCTCAGTGCCTTAGCCAGGAATTGGATCGAAGGTCGGAGGCGGTTGTGCTTAAGTATTTCTCGTAGACACAGGGTGGTCTGACGAAGGGCTAGGTTTGTGAGTGATGCGTTTTTAAGAAAAACAGCCAGTGTCTTTTTAAAGGTAGATGACTTGGTACCGAATGACTTACTGGCTGGAGGTAAGTTCCCTGGGGCCAGCAGAGAAGTGATAGGCGGCGTTGCGGTTGGTGAGTAGAGAAGGTCCAAGAGGATCACGTTCATGTTCAGGATCGTTTCACACGCAGCTGCCTTATTGTTGAAAAGCTGTCAGTTGTGGGTGGGGGGTGGGGGAGATTCCGTTTTGTAGGAAGGGGGTAGCGTTTGCTATAAAACGGTTCTTAGTTCAGGAGTCGGGGAAGTTTCTTGAAGGAGAACATTTAAGTCTCTACGCTGTCCGCGTGTTGATGACATTTCTGTATTGAACAGCAGCAGGGGTCAGGGCATCCCAGAACCCACTGTGAGTAGGATTTTGTAAGATGCAGCTGAGAAGGAACCTTAGATTCTCTCGCTTTACAGACAAAGGGTCTGGGTCGCAGGAAGAGAAGTGGTGTGCTTGGGGCCGGTCAGTTGGACTCCCGGCCCTGCCCTCACAGCCACGCCTCTGCGGTGTGATGCTCTGGGCCTCTGCCGTTTGGTGTTTCTTTTTTACAGCTGCTTAGAGCGGTTGAGGTCCTCTACTGGAGCCTTACAAGGAGGAAGTCGTGTTTCGGAAGACGTGCTGGGCGCCTCTGTCCCACAGATAAGAGGAAGAGGCCGGGCTTGTTGTACGATCAGTCCTTGTAAAGCTGAGCTGTACACATTCTTTGTTCTAAAATGACAGCTTAGAACCAAACGAAGCCTCCAGTGCTGTGCCTAATACAGTCCGTCGAATTTAAGTGAGTTTCAGAGTGCTCGTCAGTCCAAAGGGCTTCCCTGTTGGCCTAGGACACACGTGGGCGAGCCGTAATGGTAGTGAGCTAATAGACCCATAGGACTCGTTTCCAGAGAGGGGTGGGAACCTTCACCATAAGTAGCTTTACTTGAGATACATTCACAGATGTCTCCTTTTATCGACTCTGAGAAAGATTGCCAGGAGCAAAAGTGGCGTACACCTGCAGAAACGTGTGGGTTAAACCCTGGCGCCCTCCCACTTCTCCCTCTGGTGTTGACTTTCCTCCGTGATCGGTTACACGTCATCTGTTTGTTTGTGAGGGTGGCCCTAGGGGGGAGGACTTGTGCCCAGAGAAAGACAGCAAAGAGACAGTACCTGGGTTTGTGTCTTAAAAGTACCGGTTAACCGTTCGAGGTTACGTTTAACGTATTTTCTAAAAAAGCAGAAACCACCGCTAGTTCTGGCAACAAAACACACTGGAAAGACGATTTTGTTTTCTGTGAGAGGTTTGTTGGCACTCTGGTTGAAAATGTTTGAATCGAGTTAGTGGGTCAGTTTTAAAGCTGCTTCACGTTTCGTCGGGGCTTTCGTTCCGGACTCACTTCTTGACAGCCCTCGTGGTCAGAGGCGGCTTGTTCCGCTCACGGTGGCAACCAGGCACAGCGCGGGAAATGAGGCATTCTGCACGGTGGCATAAAGGGCATGTCTGTATATTTCAGATTCCGCCTGCAGCTTGTATCGCTCTGTACTTTATAATGCTTTTTCATTAAAACGGAAGCGCGCATCTTAAACTTCCATTTTCATTTCAAGATGTAATATTAACCTGCGCGAAAAGTATGATGTGCCATCTTGATACAGGAGTTGGCTCTTTGAGGACCCGGTGATAATTTACGGGAAGGTGTCCGGGTACCGGGTAGTAAATCAGACCGGCAGTTAGGTTGCGCTTCGTTCATCGCTGCCCACTTGGTGAGGGCATCGCGGAGGCATCAGGCGCGCCGTGTGGGTGCCCAGCGGGGCTGTGAAACTGAACCCCAGAGAAGGCAGTGACTTGTCTGAAGTCAGTCAGTGAGCTCAGGGCACAGCCGGCATTTGCATCCATGTCCAGTGTTCTTGTGTGTGTGCTCAGCTGCACCGGCCGGCCGCAGCTCCCCACCCGGGATGCAGTTCTGGGTGGGCGCGGGGGTAGGAGCGACGTGTCTCGGGACCGAGGACACAGACTCTCAAGTTGTTTCCAGCCTTTCTCTGTTTTCTTCGTTCTCCTGATTCCAACTGGGAGTTTGAATACATGGATTTTATGCTAATTTCTTCTTTTTCTTTTTCGGTTCAGGTTGAGGAAAGCCTATATCCTGCTTTCTGTGAGCAGCACCTAGTTGTGCAACCGATCGGTCATGCAGCCGCCGCCTCAGGCAGCCCCATCAGGCGTGGTCGGGCCACCTCCGGCCGGGACTCCTCAGAGCATGTTCTGGTCCAACAGATCTTACAGGAGACAGGCAAATAGTAATGCACCGGTGACCCCGATAACTTGCCCATTGCAGCCGGTAACGGATCCGTTTGCTTTCAGTAGACAAGCGCTACAAACTACATCGTCGGGCAGTTCGTCCAAAAGCAGCACGCCCGTTCTGCAGGGCCCGGCCCCGCCAGCGTTCCTTCAGCGCCCTGGTCTGCCTGTGCCTCACGCAAATGCTGGGGATACCTCGCAAGGACCTGTGTTGCAGGCCACAGCGGACGCCGGTCTGTTTGCCAGCGTGTTGCCACCTTCGGCGCCGCCGGAGCCAGAGTTGCACAGGAGTGCCGAGCTTGCTTCCAGCTCGGAACCCGAAGTTCAGACTCTGCCATGTCCTCACATTCCAGGAGCGGGTGCCGACAGTCCCCACGGGGGCCATCCGCACGCGAACGTGCTTGGGCCTGAGAGACCCCTGAGTCGGCAGAACCCGCACGACAGTGCTGTGGCGCCGTCCCCTTTCTTCCCTCAGCCTCGTCAGCAAATGCCAGGGCAGTGGGGGCCAGGGCAGGGAGGCCCACAGCCCTCAGGTCAACATTATTGGCCCCGCCCAGAAGGACCTGTTCAGCACCCGGTGCCCCACGCCTCCAGCGTTTCCCTCTTCCCCGCTCCGTCCAGCCCGTATCACGGTCCCGGCCACGAACAGCTCAACCCACTGGTGTCTTTGCCAGGACCCTTGGCCGGTGACGGAAGCAATGAGCCGGCCTACCTGCAGAGTGGTAACCAGTCAGCAAATAACTTTGATCCTGACAACGCGTTCAGGCAAAATTCTAGAGCTGGGAATCCTCGGGCAAGCCAGGAGCTCAGGCCAAATCCAGGAGTGAATAAAGAGCAGTTGCCAGACTTCGCTCTTGTGAATCCCCTCGCTCAGGGAAACAGCCCAGAAATCCATTTGCACTACCCCCCAGGGGCCGAGACCAGCCGGGTCCTGCCGGAAGTGGACTCGGGAGCTCTCTCCATGTTCTTCCACGGCGGAGAGACGGAAAATGAGGAGAACCTCTCATCTGAAAACACAAGCTTCGCTAGTCGGTCTGACTTGGATGGCTCCTCCCCCGGCCCGGGACTTGGTCATGCTCCCGCACGTGTGGGAGCGGGTGGCGTTTACCACGCCTTTCCCAGAGGTTCCAGCAATGAGGCCACGCAGCAGGGAGGCCACCCGCAGCCTTATTTCTCTCAGTCTGCAGGCGCCCAGCCTGATAGACCGGCCACGGCAAGCGCTGCTGTCACTGTGTGGGGCGGCCCAGCAGGCGCAGGGGCTCACGCCAGCAGCCCACAGTACGAGAACGTGGAGGACTTAGAGTTCATTCAGAATCAGGAAGTTTTGCCAAGTGAGCCCCTAAGTTTGGACCCTTCTGCCCCCGGCGATCCGCTCAGATACGGCCCCAGGCTCGGTGTTGGGGGCCACGCTGGAGGCGGGGGCCCAAATCTCGAGGCCCCGGATTCAGTGCCACACCCCGTGCGATCCGACAGCGTGTCGTCCAGTTACAGCAGCAAGAGCCACAGGAATCTTCCAGGTGCGGCCAGGCCTCAAGACCTGGGGGGCACTTTCATTCAGCAAGAAGTCGGAAAACCTGAAGATGAGTCTTCGGGGAGCTTTTTTAAGCAAATTGATTCTTCTCCTGTAGGAGGCGAGACAAACGAGACCACCGTGAGCCAGAATCACCGCAGCAGCCTGTCCCAGCCCTCAACCCCAAGCCCCCCGAAACCCACTGGAATATTCCAGACAAGCGCGAATAGTTCTTTTGAACCGGTGAAGTCCCACTTAGTTGGAGTAAAACCAGTTGAGGCCGATCGGGCCAAGGTGGTGGGCGAGGTGAGGGGGGCCGGACCCCACCAGAAGCAGCACCGGCCAGCTGCCGCACCGCCTGACACCTGCCCTGGCAACTTGGAGCAGCCCCCAGACAACATGGAGACCCTGTTCACACTCCAGGCCGGTTCTCTGCCCTTTACCGTACCCGTGGAGGCTGAGCACGGGCTCGGGCACGCTGGGGGGCCGCCCTCGGAGACCGTGCTTCCGGCAGCTGAGAAGAGGCCCTTGGCCAGGGCCCAGGGAGCTGTGAAGTGCGAGAGCCCAGTGACGACCTTGTGGGCACAGAACGAGCTCCCGGATTTCGGGGGCAGCGTGCTCCTGGCCCCAGCTGCCCCGGCACTGCACGCGCCCGTGAGGCCTCAGCCCTCTGAAGTGATCCAGCCTCCCGACGAGGGAGTGTCCGGTCGGCAGCCCCGGCAGCCAGGCCCTGGCCTCCCTCTGCAGAGCAGGGACGGCGTCGGAGCTTCCGAGAACCTCGAGAACCCTCCCAAGATGGGAGAAGAGGAGGCCCTTCCCTCGCAGGCGAGCTCGGGCTATGCCAGCCTGTTATCCTCACCGCCCACTGAGTCTTTGCAGAATCAGCCGGTCTTGATTGCCCAGCCTGATCAAAGCTATAATTTGGCTCAGCCCATTAATTTTGCTGTGTCCTTATCGAGTCCTAATGAGAAGAGTCTGCCCTGGAGAGATGCTTTGGTGGGGGATAAACCGACAGCAAGCAGCCGGACTGTCGGGGGGGACTCCGGAGAAAGCGCTCCTGCGTCTGGGATCGCAGCCGCCTCTGTCACCCGCTCGCCTCTGCCCAAGAATCTCCCGCAAGGTAGCTTTCCACAAGTTCCTGGCACTTCGGAGACCGTTTGTAATCAACCTGCTAATTTGCTGGTTCAGCCGCCACCTCATCCGGTTCCAAAGAACTTGCTTCCAGAAGGCCAAAAGGTTCATAATGCAGAGAACGTTCTTCCCGAGCTGATTGGTAGCCCTGCTGGAAGCACAGGCGTGATGTTGGTGCCGCCTGCAAACGCTACCTCGGTCCCTGCTGGTAGTAAAGCGGATCCCTCCAGTAATCGGGAAGAAACTTCTGGAGCCCTAGACTTCACGCTGAATAGGACTTTGGAAAATTCTCTGAGGATGTATGGCCCGTCCCGTTCTGACAGCCCAGCTTGTCCGCAAACCGTCACCGGTCAGCCTAGACAACCTGGGCCAGGGGCACATAACCCAGACCGTTTCTACCAGCAGGTGACAAAAGACGCTCAGGACCCATGTGGCCTAGGGAGGGCCCAGCAGGAGCCGTCACCGGCCCCCCAGCAAGGGCCCAGAGCAACATGTTCAGAACCTTCGAACCCAGGAAGCCCGCCGGTGCAGGGGCAGTCCCAAAACTCGGTCCCGCCACCGGCAAGTCCCGCTCCAGCTGACACGGGTCAGCAGCTGCTGCCTCGGCCGCCTCGGTCCTCCAGCGCGTCCATCGTGTCCACCAGCTCCAGCCAGGCAGCCGCGCGGTCGGACCAGCAGTGGCTGCAGCCGCCGCCTCCCTCGGACTTGGCAGCTTACTACTATTACAGATCCCTGTACGATGGCTACCAGTCGCAGTACCCCTCGCCATACCCGCCGGATCCCGGCACAGCCTCCCTCTATTACCAGGTATGGTCAGGCTCTCGGACGGTTGAACCCCGGGACCGGTGGTCTCTTTCTCCCGAGTCGTGCTCCTTGGCAGGCTTTTGTTGCTCAGTTCGGAAGCGGCCTGTAGGCCCTGTGGTCTGCACCGTCGTGCAGAGTGCCCGTTCCTGCACCACTGCTTGGGGAGCGTGCCCGGCTCCCAGAACCCTTGCAGGTTCACACTGCACACCTGTGTGTTGCGTGGTGCAGAATCCCTGGTTAATTTTTAGCACGCGTGCCCCGGCGTGTGTGGCTGAGGTGCCCTCTGTTTCCTGTCCCTCCGGTGGGCTCTCTGCGGGACCAGAGCTGAGTTGCGCACCTTGGGAAACTGGGATATCCTCTCGAAGCTCCGGTGTGGTTTTGACGGGAAAAATCTACCCAGAGAGGAACAGGACAGCGCAGTGTTTTAAATCCCTCCAGGAGAGTAGAAACATTAAGGGAAAAAAGTTAGGTTCGGAACGAATCCAAGCAAAACGGCCAAGGGGGATGAGATCCCGTAAACGTCCCTCGGGCGCATGGCGGTCCCAGCAGCGGGGCGGGGGCGGTGTTGCGCCCCACAGAAGACTTGCCGTTCACAGTGGCCTAAGCATGTGAGTGTTGTGAAACACAACTGGTTCTGTCCAGTTCTCTGGTACTTTGAAACAGTGGGGTTCAAATGCACACGTTGGATCACGATTTGCTTCTCATTATCTCTAGTCCCAGCCCCGCATCATGTGAGGTCGGCAGAGTGTCAGAGGGCCAAGGAGTGTAGACCAGAAGTTTGGAAAGCACGGTCCTACAGTGGGCAGGTGGCCATCCTGGGGACCTCTTAGAGGTGGCTCGGGGGTACAGGGCTGGTGGGGGTGGGTCGAGCAATAGCCCCCACTAGGAAGAGGCTTGTGCCTCCTTTGCAGGCTTTGAGCATCTTTGGGATTATATGAATACTGTGCATCTAACCACTGAGATTAGCAAATTTGAGATTCTGGAAGGAGCCCCAAGGATTCCTGTTTCCATACAGGGAAACTGATTTCAGATCCATCCAGCGCCCAGGAAGGGCTGGCAGAGCACGAGGGGAGCAGTGTCCCCGCTTTGGGTTCTTTGTGCGGCAGCCACACATACATCTAGGAAACTCCAGCCAGAGCCCAGCACCACTCCTGTGGGAGCCCGCTTCCTTCCGCCCTCCCACCTTGTGGCCACAGTCTCCGGTGGTGTCAGGAATAAGTCCGTTGGACGTGATTTCTCCACTTCGGCCAGGCGATGGTGGAGAGTCAGGCTCGTAGACCAGAGGGCTGCTTCAGGTCCCCACGTGGCAGCTCCTTAGAGACCGTCGTGGCCAGTCATGAGCCTGCGAGGGGTTGAAAGCCTCATGAGAATAGAGTATGAGCCTCTCTTTGAGGCTGTGTGTAGCTCCGGGACCCATTCAAATGGAACCCTGGATATTTTGCATACCTGAGATGATGTGTGAAACAAGGACACGAACCCAGGGAGTCCTAGCACCTCCGTGGCAGAGCCGTCTGGAGTCTCCACGGCCCCTCGGGGGCTGCCTGCTGACACGGCGGCCGCCTGCTGACACGGCGGCCATCTCCTGAGCAGGACCAGGGCAGTCCCTTTAGGAAGATCCTGCTGCCCGTCTGTGGCTGTGGATGTCAATTTGTAGGTTTTCTCTTCTGCACGAGGGAAGCCCCACGTCCGGTGCTCCTGGAGGGCCGTCACCAGCGCCATTTAGAGCTAGCGCCAGTTGCTTGACGGGTGGCTCTTCACCGATGTCTAACGTTGCGCAAACCCTTCTTCCAGCAGGACGTCTATGGCCTGTATGAGCCCAGATACAGGTCCTACGACAGCGCGGTGTCCGCCTACGCTGAGAGCTACCGCTGCCCCGAGCCCGAGCGGCCCAGCTCCCGGGCAAGTCACTGCTCGGACCGGCCACCTGCCAGGTGATTGACGTTCGTGTTGCTGGCTGTGGTGGTAACTTCCCGATCTGAAAACATGAGACAAACCTGTCTTCTCCTGTGCTTATGTTTAATCAGCACGGGCAGAGCACAGGAGCACTTTGAAACGGAACAAAGCCCTCCCTTGCAGCCATGCCGTGCTGTCAGCCAGCACTGGGTCGGGCCAGACCCTCTGCGGGGTCCTCCCCGGGCCAGGGGATCATCCAGCCACCACCGAGGCGCACACGCGGCTCAGGCATTTTGCTGACCAGGTGTTCAGGGCCCTATGGCTGTTCCCTGCTACTGACCACAGTGGTGTGGAGTCGTAGGCCAGGCAGGCTGGGGCCAGGACCCCTGCCCACCTCCTTTTCCTAACATTGCATCTGTGCTGGAAGGCCCCACACACGTCTATCACGCTACCCTCCTCCACTGAGCGAGCGCGTCTCAGCTCTGTGATTACAGATGAGGGATTTTGAAAGAGCCTTGGCATCATGCCTTCCTGCCAAGTAGGAATGGAAGCAGGTCACAGCCTCCCGCTCAGAGACATAGGGAGAGCTGGGACGGTGCGGCGGGCGCACCGCCTGCGTTCCAGCACCTTCCCCTGCACCTGCTTGTCAGGTGGAGGAGTGACATGTTACGGGTGTAGGTTTTGTTACAAGGCCACACGGCTTCTTGAACCCTAATAGAGGAAGTCTGATCCCCATGAATTTGCATGTGCGCTGCTTTCCAAAGTCGCGGGATCCAATCTCTGGCACTTTGTCTTTGTTGGCTCGTCTGGAGACAGGGCTGTGTCTCTGTGAGCCTCTGCCTGTTCGGCCGGCCGCTGTCAGTCCATTGCTGGCCTGCACGTAGCCCAGACTTCCGGGGGCTTTGTGGGGGAAAGCTCCCGAGGTTACAGCTCCTGTGCAGCACCTGGGAAGTAAGGCTCGAAGTGAAAATAAGGGAAAGTGTCCGGTAGGTGTTTCTAGAACCCTCTAGGGGACCAGGGAGGGTGGAGGAGGGTGCAGCCAGGGCGCATCTCGCCGTTCCACTATCCTGTCCTTTTGGCCACCTGCGAGTTAACGTGCGTTCCAAGAGGCCAAAGGTGGCTCCGTGCTGTTGAGAAGTGCCCCAGCCAGGAGCGAGGCCAGGCCGCACGTCAGTGGCTCTGTCCCCTGTCTGGCAGTGTTTCTGTGCTCTTAAGTGTCGTCACCACTCATGTGACCGCTCTGGAGAGCAGCCCGGCCTTTCTGCCCTGCTTTGGTTGGGGGTGTGTGTCCACGTCCGCACGTGTGTGTTCTTGACGACGTGGGTCCGTGTCTGCACTTGCGGACGTGTGTCTGTGTCTGTGTCCGTGCTTGTGTGCGTCAGTCTCATGCCTGGTGTGATCACGTACCTGCAGGAACTGCTTGAGGTGGGAACAAGTCCTTCGTTTTTTTGACTGTGTCTTTGCTGATGGGCGAACGGGCTCGGTTGGCGAGAGCAGCCAGGAGGTGGCGTGGTCGTGGCTCTGCGCCGTGTCACATCTCTGTTCCGAGCCCACCGCTGGCGTGTGCAGCGGCCCCCCGCTCTGCAGATGGGTGGGGTCTAGAGGGCTGTCCTCCAAGGCCCTCGGAAGGGGCCTTGTTCCCACAGCTGAGCCGTGAGAGCGGGTTCCGGACTGGAGGACCGAGTGCGGCTCACTGGCAGTCTCTGTCCCAGGAGCTGTGCCGGCCAAGCCCCCCGGCTCAGCTGAGTGAGACGTTCCTGAAGGGGCATGGGAAGAGTCACATTTCAAAAATCAAATATCGTCTAAGGCTCGTTAGTAAGAGACGAAACCGCTAATGGGCCGTTCTAAGAACCTTACTGCCCAGAAGGTCTGACGCGTGACCTCGCCAAGTTCTGCTTATCTGGCCACAAGAGACTCGTGGCGGGGTCTGTGAGGCTAGCCTCCATCAGACACAATTCAGGCGTCTTGCGGTCAGGTTTAAGAGCAGACTCGAGGGGCTGAGGCAGCCGCAGCCCTGCGCCTGGGCGCGGACCCTCACCCGTCCCAAGCACACGGCACGCGGTCTGTGCCGAGGGTACCGAAGTCGGCGTTAGGTTGGTTTTGACAGCTCAGTGCTCTCTGCTTCCGCTCGGGGTTGATGACTGGAAACTTGAGAGCCTGTTTGAGTGTCGGCGTGTGGGATGTGGCACTGAGCAGGCAGAAGGCGGTCAGTTCTCTTACGTTTGTGGCACTTAAGTAGTTACTTGGGGAGGTGAATTGTGGCTGCGTGGCAGGGAATCTTACCCCATTGTCGTTACTGATTTTCTCATTACGATTTTTTCGCAATGTGTCTTGCCGCACGCCTGACGCTCTGGGGGTAACGTGTGCTGACTGACGTCTTGTCGTATCCTGAGGAGGAAGTGGGAAAATTGTTTTGTAACGACATCGTGTGTGTTTTCAGGCAAGGCTATCCTGAAGGTTACTACAACTCCAAAAGCGGATGGAGCAGCCACAGTGATTACTATGCAGGTTACTACTCCAGCCAGTATGACTACGGAGGTAGGTTCACAAGTGCAGATGGCCGGCCGCTGGCGGAACCGCATCCAGACCACTAGTGCGGCCGGTGCGAGGCAGTGTCCTCTGGCCATTTCTTACGAGGCCCTCCATTCCATTGCTCTCTTTAGGTTTCTAATCCAAGAGCCAAAGTGGTGGAAGATAAGCCGCACTTGGGAATAATCATGCTGCTGTATTTGTTTAGAAATTACGTCTTAATTATAGCAGTTACAGCAGTAACGTATCTTTATCACGTTAGTAGTTTCCTATGATTTTCTAGCAAAGCATGATTGTGAGTAGTTCCAGGATGGCCTTGGTCCTGCGTATTTATTTAAGTTGATGAAAAGAAATAAATGGGAAACCAGCTTCTGGGGTCACACTGGCCCCGTGTGGCATACTGGTGGCCTCCTGTGGCCGCCCTCCCGCCACGGTGCAGGCATCAGATGTCCTCACTGCATACGCCCGGAGCTGCCTTCCCATCTTGACACTCTGCCATTGGGTGGGGTGCTCATCTCAGCGACACGTCCCCCTGGCGGTCCTGCTGGTCACTGCTGCCTGGCTGTGACCTGTGCTTAGCTGCAGGGGAGGGTCCCGGGCCCACTGTCCCTTGGTTGTCCCGCTTCCCCCAGGCCTCTTTCCCATTTACGTTTGTGTCATTTTACATATAAATTTTGCTCGTAGCTGCCAAAAATGGTACATCTAGGTTATAATGTTAATGTATTTTTTAAAAAGTGTTTATTTATTTTGAGAGAGAGGAAGAGAGAGCACGAGTGGGCAGGGGCAGAGAGAGGGGGGGAGAGAGAGAGAGAGAGAGAGAGAGAGAGAGAGAGAGAGAGAGAGAATCCCAAGCAGGCTCCACATTGTCAGTGCAGGGCCCCATGTGGAGCTCGATCTCATGAACCAAGAGATCATGACTTGAGCTGAAATCAAGAGTTGGATGCTCAACCGACTGAGCCACCCAGGTGCTTTAAGTAATCTTTTAGTTTTGGATTATTTCTTAAAACTTTAATCTTTTAGTTTTGGATTATTTCTTAAAACTTTCTAAACTACGTCAGAAGCCACATAAGGAAAACGTATGGTCGCAGAATTAAGTACCAAAAGATAGTAACTACGAACAAGGTTTTTTTAGGTTTTTATTTTTTTAAATCACCCGTGTTGAGAGAAACCCGGTGAGTGTTACGTGTTGTCGGTACAGGCAAGACGCGCCCGGGTCCTCGGCCTAACAGCTAACACTCTCCTAGGTCATGCTGATTTGGGGGAGGAAAGTTCGGTTCCTCTGAGATCCTCGAGGCGTCCTTCAGTCTGGGGTGGTGTGGTTTCTCTAGCCAGGGCGGGAGGCGTGTCTTGCTTTGCCTGTTGTAATAAACTGTTAATGCCCCGCCCACAGATGCGGGCCGCTGGGACCGATACCACTATGGCTCCAGATTCAGGGACCCCCGCGCCTGTGACCGGAGGTATTGGTATGATGCGGAATACGATCCGTACCGGAAAGAAAACTACACTTACGGGGACAGGTTGGTACGACGCGCGTCGGTAAAGAGGGTTGCTCGACTCTGCCCTCACGTCTGTCGTATTCATCGGAAAGCTACGCTTGTGCTTGGGACCCTGAGCAGCAGCTGACGTTGGGGTCCCTGTCTGAAGGACAAAGATGAACAGGCCCTCCTGGCAGTTCCCGCTTGCGTTGTTGGGTGGGGGGGCGTTGAGAACTGGCCTGGGGGCGGCGCCGGGAGTCGGCCCCTCCTCTTCCTGGTCCGGGAGAGGCATGGCCGCACGCAGGTGCGCTTGTGGCCTGTTTCTCCAAATCTGAAGGCGAAGGTGGGGTCTGAATTTGGGCTTGGGATGTGGCCACTCCGCCCAAGGGTAGGCTCCCACTGGTCGTCTGAGGGTCAAGACCCCGGATGGTGAGCCGGCACCCAGCAACAGGGTGGCGACGACACGGCGGGACCTCGCTGCCGTGTAGCAGAGGGCCGTTGTCCTGGAGCCCCCTCCCCACACTTCCCTCTCCTCGCCTCTGCTCCCGCTCTCTCCAGGCCCGAGAGGTACGATGACCCCTGGAGGTACGACCCTCGCTTCACTGGCAGCTTTGACGACGACCCTGAGCCCCACAGGGACCCTTACGGGGAGGAGGCGGACAGACGCAGCGTGCACAGCGAGCGCTCCGCACAGAGTCTGCGCAGCAGCCTCAGCTCCCGCTCGCGCCAGGTGGGCCCCCCCCTTCCCGTATTCGACCGCGCGTCTGAGTCTCCCGAGCTCCCAGGAGCTGATTGGTCCCATCTGCTCTGTTTCCTCAGAGTCAGGTTTACAGAAATCACGGCATGACTGCTGCTTCCTACGAGGCCCCGCCTCCCCCAGACTCCTTGCCCGGAGATTATGCCTACGGCAACAATTTTGGCAGCGTCCAGGGCTTCCCGGAGTACGGTTACCCTGCCGAAGCCGGCTGGCCCGCGACGGAGCAAGGTATGTGTGTGGTCAGGGCCGAGGCGCTCCTGGCCGTGGAGGGACGTCCGGTCACTCTGCCGGGGCAGCCTCACGAGCCCGGGGTGACAGAGGGAGTGAATTTCAGCTCTGATGGGAACTGGCGGTGCCTGGCCTGGTTGTCTCTGCAGGGTAAGGACTGCCGTGAGTCACAGAGCTTGTCACGGGGGCTGGTGCCATCCCTCGGACTCAGACCTGAGAGCAGCCCAGTCTGTCCGTGGTGCCCACGCCGGTGTGGCTCTGAGTACAGGCTCCCCGCCAGGTTCTCAGGCGCGGCCGCCCTGTGCTCCCCGGTGCTGGCTGCTTGGGTGTGGGAAACTCCTAACTCCCCTTGAAAACCTGCGTGGACTTGTCACCTGTGCCACAGTCTCGACTCCTCCCTGAGACACTGGATCAAATGCTCTCCCCTGGAGAAGTGCAGACATGGGCGTCGGACCCTACAGGGCGATGCTCCAGTGAAGATCTCTGTCCTCAGTCCCCTTGTCGACCCCTGCGCCACTCACCGTCAGGGTTAGGGTTAGGTGTGGAGGCTCTGGGGGCGTCCGAGCAGCTGGAAGCCCGACGCTCCTCGCGAGTGACACTGGCTCCACGCACGCGGCTGTTTCAAAGGAGTTCTCTTTTCAGAAGAGAGTAGCCGTCGTGTCTAATGACTGAAACGCTTTTCTGACACACACCTAAGTTCTCCTTTCTGGGAGGACGTCTAACCAAAATACCTTTCGGTTGGAAGCCAGGTCGCCACGACCAGTCTGACCTGTGACTCCAGCCACGTGGGTGTCGTGAAACTCTGTGCTGTTGGTCTAGTTCAGAAGCACCACAGGGTGACAAGCTGTTTCTTTTTCACTTTATTGAAACGTAGCTCCGTCAAGACCAACCTCTCCTGAGAAATTCTCAGTGCCTCATGTCTGTGCCAGGTTTGGTCCTGGGGGTCAGCTCATTAAAGTGATTCCAAATCTGCCTTCAGAAGGACAGCCCGCGCTGGTCGAGATCCACAGCATGGAGGTAATTCCGTGAGTAGAAATTGCACCTCGCAGGACTGCCCTTGAAGAAGTGACCTTGCAAAGCGTTTCTCTGCACACGTCTTCGATCCGCAGATGTTTCTGTTGCGTTGGGTCATGTCAGTTTCCTCTCAGAGATCAGCATTTCAAGCGTCTGCGTTGGGGGTCACGTCAGACTTGGTTTTAAGGCATATTCACTTTCTGTCTTCATTGGCATTTCTGGTTCAGCAGGGAGGCCTCTTACTGGTGAATGTGGGTTATGGGGAGAGGCGCTGGGGTGCAGGAGGCTGGTTGGGGGGCGCCCTCTTCTGCGGCCCTGGCAGGCCTCTTCTGTGCACGTTAGGGCCCCACTTCAGAGTTTGAGGGGAGGCGCGGTTCCTGCTCCTTCAAGTAGAGCTTGAAAGTCACTGTTGTAAACCAAATGTGCCCGCGCCCTGTGATGGAGGGGCAGCCACCCCCCAGGTGGCGTCGACCGCTTGGTGCTCCTGTGCGGCGGGCAGACGCTGCCCCTGAGCTGCTGTCTCTCTCCACCCCCGCCCCGCCCCGCCCCGCTTCCACCAGACCTTGCTGCAGCACACGCCGGACCAGGAGGAGATGCGCTCGTTCCCGGGACCGCTCGGCAAGTACGTCCCCGTCGGAGCGCCCCGCGATGTCTGTCCGGAGGCGGCTGCTGTGCTCGGCCTCGCGGATGCAAGGTGTTGCTGTTCATCGAGCGTGTGTTCTTTTTTCAGAGGTGACACCCATAAAGTGGATGTTATTAATTTTGCACAGAACAAAGCTACGAAATGTTTGCAGAATGAAAATTTAATTGACAAGGAGTCTGCCAGTCTCCTTTGGAATTTCATTGTTCTCTTGTGCAGGCAGAACGGGGTAAGTTTCTCGTTGGCCCCTGCCTCGGTCCCCCTGCACCCCGAGGAGTTGGGCGGGATTTCTTTTCGGGCTGTGCTCGGCGAAGCGGGGTCACCGTCCAGGGGCTCACGCAGGAAGAGCTTCCTAGCAGCGATTTGGGGAAGTGGAATTCAGGGCCGTGTGGTTTGGGGCGAAGGGAGGTGTGGGTCCACCTTTTTGTCGGCCTATCAGGCAGTCTGTGGTCTGCCCATCCTGCTCCTGGCCGTGTCACGGGCGGTGCTCTGTGCCCCCGGGAGTAGAGCATGCACGCCTGAGGAGTCCTGCTCGGGGCCTCGCCTGATGACGAGCGGGAGTGTCCTGTCGCCCCGGCAGTGAATTCTGTTTGTGGTAAACCCTTCTGTTCTTCTTGCCCCCGTGGCCCTCGCAGACCGTGGTGGGAACAGACATCGCGGAACTTCTGTTACGAGACCACCGAACGGCATGGCTTCCTGGGAAGTCACCCAACGAGGCCAACCTGATTGATTTTACTAACGAGGCGGTGGGACAAGTGGAGGAGGAGGAGTCCGGGGAGGCCCAGCTCTCGTTCCTCACCGACAGCCATGCGGCCACCACCAGCACTCTCGAGAAGGAAACAGAGAGGTTCCGAGAGCTGCTGCTCTACGGACGCAAGAAGGTGAGCGGGAGCGGGGAGGGGGAGGGTGTCCCGGGGCACAGGGCACAGCCGAGGGGTGCGGTCCCGCTCTTGGGCGCGCCAGAGACGCCGTCCCGTGTGGTGTTGGTACGTCCTCTCGCGTCAGTGGGGATTTTCTTCCGAGGGTTGTGGGGTCGGAGACCTGCGAGTGCGCTTTTCAGTCATTGGGCAAATAGATGAATTTCCCATGCTCAGGCTGCACCCCTGTCGTGTGCGGGTCTCGGGGCCAAGCCGAGCACGAGACAGAAATTACACCATCCTCCCCGGTGAGGTGGGAGCCGGGGGCCGGTGGGGAGCCGATCACAATATGCAGAGCCGTTGGAGGCTCGCCGGGACCAGGCAGACTGCGGGGAGGGCCCTAGGGGGCCCGTGGGGGCCGCGTGGGCGCCCTGGTGGCGGGGGTCTCCCAGGCCGGCAGTTCGGGGCACTCCGACGTCGTGATCCGCTCCAAAAGCTCGTGTGTGATAACTAAACGGTCTTCACGTGGACATCTTCCGACCGGTTGAAATTTTAAAGTCTGTCCGGTTTGCCTCCCGTTTGCCTGTACCGCAACGTGTTTGTCGCCCGAAGGTGTCCTCTGAGTCGTGCCCCGGGTGACTTTGGGTAAGGGAAAGTCTGCCTTAGGAAAGGCTCTGTGCGCGTCGAGATGACGTTCGTGGAGGCCTCGTGCCGCATTCTGGAACGGGGATGCGATCCCTGTGGTGTGTCCCACGGGGGAAGCAATGGTTTGGGGGTGGCGGTACCCCGTCTCGGTTGCCCTGGTTGCTGATCGGCGTGTGTGTTCTTCATGCTGCTAGTAGATGACAAAGCGAGATGTGTACTCGCCAGCCTGCTACCACAGGGACTTTGCAGCTGGGGCACATGTGAAAAGTGGACTTCGTTTCTGAACCGGAGCTGTGTCGGCAGACCTTTGAGTCGCGCGTTCCTTGGTGTGCCCTCTGCTCTGCCCGCCCCCAGCGGTGCCTGACGACACGCGGGCCGCCGCGCCCGCTTGCTTGTGTCGGGGAGATTGTTCTGATAACTCAGGTAACCCCGAAAACACTTTGCAGGATGCTTTGGAATCCGCGATGAAAAATGCCTTGTGGGGACATGCTCTGTTGCTGGCAAGCAAGATGGACAGCCGGACACACGCCCGGGTCATGACCAGGTAGAGCATCTTGCCCTGTAGACTGTCTCTGGGCGCTTCCAACTGGCCTGGTCGTGTTGCCCGGCCAGCTCTTGGAAGCACAGTGGCCTGTAGATTTCGTCCCAGAAAGCAGGTGCCGCTGGCCCAGGCTTGCTTGGCCTTCGTCCGTGGGTTGTACCGCAAAGGGGGTTTTAGAAGTTTTTATTGGCCGTGTAGTTCTTGTACTTTATGTGAAACCACCACGAGATCCTGGGGCCTTGTGTTTGTTTTCAGCTCCTTAATCGAAATACTGGGACCTGTGCACTTCGCCCGGCTTAAGTGCCAGACGGCCATTAGATGGCCAAGATGAGACCAGACTTGTTTTTGTCTTTTTGTCCTCGACACAGGGCCAACTCGGGTCTTCGTCTCTTTGTATTTGCCCAGGTTCGCCAACAGTCTTCCAATCAACGACCCTCTTCAGACGGTGTACCAGCTGATGTCGGGCCGGATGCCCGCTGCGTCCACGGTCAGTGTTCAGGGGCTCGTGGGCATCTCCGCGGTCCGGCTGTCTGTCCGGGCTCGCTCGTCTGACAGATTGCGTCACGGGCCGCGAGGCCTGCGACCCCCTGTTGGTCTCGCTCCCTCGCTGTGCTCTTTGAGCTCACCCGTGAGAGATGAAAATGACGCTGTCTTCTGAGGAGGAGGGTTTATCTGGGTTTGCGTTTTTCTGACCTCAGTGTTGCGGAGACGAGAAGTGGGGAGATTGGAGGCCGCATCTTGCTATGATTTTGTCCAACCTGAGCAGCAGCGTGGATGTGGAGTCCAGGGCGATGACCACCATGGGCGACACGCTAGGTAGGTCAGGTGCGGGCGCGGGCCCGGAGGTGGGAGAGCGCAGGACGCTCGTGTGTGGAAGCCGCTGCCGGGGTACTGAGGGCCGTTCGCGTTGTCTCTGTGGTGTTTTCCATCCACGTGTTTTGATTCCTGGGAGAACTCGGCGTCACTGGCCGCGGCCTGCTTTGTGTCTCCTCAGCTTCGAAAGGTCTCTTAGATGCTGCGCACTTCTGCTACCTCATGGCCCAGGTCGGGTTAGGGGTCTATACGAAGAAAACCGCAAAACTGGTTTTAATTGGATCGAATCACAGGTGAGGAACATAGCGGTCTCTGTTTTCCCACAGAAGGAAAGCACCCTCCTTCAGCCCACCCAGAGACGGCGGGCGGCCCGGCGGCGGCTGCCGGCTTTGTCCTGTGGTGTGACGGGCTTCTGGGTGACCTGCTCAAGGACTAAGGTTCCCTGTTTCCTCGACAGTTTGCCGTTTTTCCAGTTTGCGACCAATGAAGCCATTCAGAGGACGGAGGCCTATGAGTATGCCCAGTCCCTCGGGGCACAGACCTGCTCCTTCCCCAACTTCCAGGTCAGCGGGGGTGGGCGGGCGGTCCGTGCTGACAACTCTCCGACCATCGCGGGTTCGAGTCCTTGCGCAGAAAGCGATAAAGTGTTTTTGGAGATCTCGAGACACTCAAGCGTCCGTAATGCTTGAGAAGAAAGCCCTGTTGAGTTGAGGATTTTGTTTGCCTTTAAGATGTTTGTTGAGCGTTTGGTCCCCAGTACTTTGTCTGTCGGCAGCTCTTAGCGTCGTGGGGAGAGTATTATCTGACCGGGGACCGTGTGGGCATAAATGTCTGTGGGGCAGAGCGAGTGGGGACGGCTGTCCCGACCAGCCTCGTAAGCGTGTTGAAGAGAAAGAGTTGCCAAGAAGCTTAGTTGTCGACTTTCATCTGAGATACCTTGGGGGGCACCTGGCTGGCTTCTCGATATCGGGGTCGGGAGCTGGAGCCCCACGTTGGATGTAAGGGTAACTTAAAAAGTGAAATCTTTAAAAAATAAATAAGCGAAAGGTGAGATCCCTCCGGGAGCAGGGTTGGTGCTGCTGGGCAGCCGCCGGGGGCGTGTGTGAGGCGCGCGAGGCGAAGCGTGAGCCTGGGGTGGGGTCTGGCGGGGGCGAGGGGCGGTGCCTCAGACCGCTCTGGTCGTTCACCTGCTCCAGGTGTTCAAGTTCATCTACTCCTGCCGCCTGGCGGAGATGGGGCTGGCCACGCAAGCCTTCCACTACTGCGAGGTGATCGCCAAGACCATCCTGACGCAGCCCCACGCGCACTCTCCGGTGCTCATCAGCCAGCTGGCTCAGGTGACGTCCCCTGAGCGTCCTCCCGGCGACACCGGGCTGACGGGACTCGGGAACCGAGCTGGGACCGCCGGGACTTCCTTCTTGAACGGCTTTAGCGATTTTCGTGTTCTTGGACGGGCATCCGGTGTTTTTGCGTTAGCGTAAGAACTCGTCAGCTCTCTCACCCCAGTGCAGAAGCGGGACGGTAGCTTCTAAGGAAGTTTCCCCGGGAGACTCACCGTGGGGCCCTTGAATCTAGCGGTTCACAGCATGAGCTACCAGAGTCCAGCAGCCTGGCTTTGGGGCCTGGCTGCTCCAGGGCCGGCCCCAGTTTCTTGCTCTGTAAAACAGAGACCGCGTGACCGGCCTCCGGGAGCAGGCGAGGCTCAAAGGAGACGGGGTTGCGCGTGGGGACGCGCAGCACAAGCTGCCCGCTGCGCCAGTGTTCCCCTCTCCCCGGGAGTTTCGTTCAGGAGAATGCACTCACGTGATAACTTGGGAAAGTGTTTCATCACGAGAAGTTTTAGACGTTTACGAAAACAGAATAACGAATCCTTCTTCCGCCAGCTTCAGCAGTGAACCCACGGCCGCCTTGTTTCATCTGTCCCCGCCTCCCTCACCGTCCCTCTCCCCCTACTGCCCGTCAGGGTGTGTGCATTTCTGGGTCCATTCAGTGTTTTGATCGGCGAAGCCAAGTCCGTGGGATCCGATGGGAGGGGCAGCAGACTCGCTCCGGGGGGCGTGCGGACTGCTGGCCCCCACGCACACAGGCTGACGGGTCTGCTAGGGCGCATTCGAGGCTCCCGGGCCCCCTTGCTGATGTCTCGGCCTCGCCAGCCGCTCCGGGGCAGGTCACGGCGCGCCTCAGAAAACCTTCCCGGTGATTCAGCCGCCCGGTTGGGTGACGAAGATGCTTTTGTCTCTGGGTCACCCGGGTGGGCCTGTCCTCCCCGGTGGTAACGGGCTCTTCCCCCCACCCCGTGTGCATCTAGATCGCCTCGCAGTTGCGGCTCTTCGACCCTCAGCTGAGAGAGAAGCCGGAGGAGGAGTCCTTCGTGGAGCCCGCCTGGTTGGTCCAGCTGCAGCGCGTCGAGAAGCAGGTCAAGGTGTGAGGTTTGCTTTCGGTCTCGGGAGACGCGATGTCAGAGACGGGCTGACAGGCGCGGTCCGTGTCCCCGTTTTCACATCGAGTGCGGGTGTTCGGTGTAAACGGTAGGATTTCAGAGGCGCGTGGATTCCCGGGACGGGGCCGGGAGGCGCTCCTGAAGCACAGACGCGGGGAGCGGGTCCCCCGGGGTTGGTGCCGCAGCGCGGGGCTGTGGGAAATGCCTGCGGTGTCTCTCCTGTAGGAGGGCGCCGTGCCGTGGAGCCTGGACGGGGCCCTCTCCCAGCGCTGCCCCAGCACGCCCGGCCCTGAGGCCGGACAGCACGACGGCCCGGGACCCGCCCAGCCGGGCAACCCGCTGCTGGCACTGCCTGTGCCCAGCGCTGAGCGCTTCGGTCAGGGCGTGCGGCTGCTGCCTTCAGGTGAGCCCCGTGCCGCACGCGGAACATTCTCGCCCTGCCTCTCTGGGAGAGCGGAGGGGACATGTCTCAGCTTCGCGTCAGCCTTCTCCTCTCCCTCCGCGAGGCTGTCCGTTCTCTCGGCTGTAAACATCGGCTGAGTGGGCGGGCGCCCCTTTGTCCCCCGGCGGCCGAGGCCAGGAGGACTCCGTGAACGCAGCCGCTCTCTGGGTTGTGTTGGGTCTCACTGTGGCTTAGAGCCCTTGCCCGTCATCTTTAACGACGTCCTCCCTTTGGTCCTCAGAGGGTCCCCGCGTGCTGTTCTTCCCCCAACCGCAGAGGCCCTCGCATCCCCCGCACTTTCTGTTTGGTGCCGGGTTCTCTTAGCACATAACGAAAGAAACGTGGCCACGCAGAATGCCGCGTGCTAAACTGTTCGGCGACCGCCCGTTCGCTTCTGCAAGTGACTGGAGTTAGCGCCAGTGACCTCAGGCTGCTGTTCGCTCTTGCAGCTCCGCCGACGCTCCCCGACAGCCAGCCGGCCCTCCCCGCCAGGGTGCCTTTGTTCCCCGTGCCACCACCCCCCGGCCCTGCGGAGCTGGGGCCTGGCTGCGGACCCCCCGGGTCTGCGCTTGGCTTTCCAGAGCCCTCTGTGCCTGAGCCTGCAGCTCTGTACCCGGGACCTGGCCTGCCAGCGGGCGCACCGTCTCTGCAGGAAAGCGAGCACCTGCCCCAGGAGGCCGGAAGCCAGGACCCAGGTGGGTCTCTGCCGCGACGCCATCCCCAGAGGCCTAGACTGGGTTTGGTGTTCAAGGAGGTGATTGGCAGAAGGGCCTTAAGTCATTTGCGCTTGAAACGAGTTGTATCGCTTACTGTCTGCTAAGGGTTCTGGAAGTTCTGGAAGTTCTAGGCGGAACGGCTGATCGAGATCCACGCTAGTCTCCCTTGTGACTTGGCTGTTGGTTAGGACGCAGAGTGTAAGCGGGTGTCCCGGTGTGGCGAGCCAGCCTTGAGGTGCGCCCGGGCTGGGACCTGCTCTGCGCTCCGATGTGGTTCTCGTGCTGTGTACTCGGGCACAGTACGGCGTAGACCCGTCTTTGAAGATGAAGCCATTTCGAGACCATTTCCGGTCTCGGGCTCTGAGGCGCATCGCGAAGCTGCCAGCGTGGCTCTCTCTTCCGTTGACAGGGGTGATGCCACAGGAGGCGCTTGGGAGAAACTCGCTTCCGGAACGGAGAGAAGATGGTTTTGGCGGAAAATTTGCTCATCTGGTACTCTCCCGCTTCTTGTTTTTAAGCTATTCGTTTTCCATAAGCTGCGCTGATTAGGAGCCCAGACTTGTCGCTCTTTAGCCTTAAGTAGAAGGATAGTCGTGAAACTTAGGAAATTATCCTTTAAATTGCTTCTCAGTGGGAAAGCTCCTCTGAAATAACTTGGATCCTCACCATACGGAGTTGGGGGAAAAGCGTTACGGAGGAAAACACTCGTTCACCAGTGTGGTGTGGGGATCGTTACTTCATGGAGAGAAAGTGCTCGCTTGTGATGAAACTGCATTGCTGACTTTGAGTTTTCTAAACCGGAGAGCCCTACCCACTCTCTGCACCTCACTTTCTGCAGTAGAATCCCTAAAAATCTCACTGGTTTCTTGAAATCAAGATATCGCTTTATCAGACGCGTCTGGTGTAAACACCACCTCTGTTTGCGTCTCAGCGCGGGGGTTGAGGGGGGAACAAACGCTTTTCTACACGCTGTTCTACAGCCTTCTGTACGGAGAGCAGGCCTCTGTGGGCATGCGGTCATCGTCTAAACTTTTGTTACACGTTCCTCCACAAGAATACTCTGTTTTCGTGTAAAATGACAGTCACTAATTTTGAAAATGGGGTCTTCGCTCAGCGAGAAGTATTTTCTAAACAGATAAGCCTATCTTTCCCAACGCCCCCTGCTCCGCTGTGCCCAGTCCCTTCCCTCTTCCTTGCAGCCCGCCAGTGCCCCCTGAGCTCCTGAACCCCCTTCCTGCTCCTGCAGTGCGCCTCGACAGACTGGCTGGCTAACTGCAGGCTGGGGGGTGGGGGGCAGCTGTGTCCCCCCCCACTCTGCCCTCCTCACGAGTCATAAGGCCTCTGCTGTGGTGCCCCGGGTGAACCTCCTCCCCTGTTGCCTCGGAACAGGGCCCCTCCAGGACGTCCCAGGACTCCGAGGTCCCTCCGGCGTGGGAGCGTGCTGGCCCCGGAGCCCTGCAGCCGCCTCTCGCGTCCACGCCCGAAGGGAAGAGGCCTGCACAGGCGGCCGGGAAAGAGGTCAAGGAGCCTAAGAAGGTAGCACACGGCGCACCTCCGGCGGGGCGGGGGCTCCCACAGACCCTTCCTCACGCCTCGGCGCTGGGCGCCGGGCCCCAGGCCACCGTTCTTTCGTCACTTGGGCCGCACGGTTTGGGAAGTGTCCTAGGGGCGTGTGAAACGTGAAGCTTCGTGAATGTTCGTGCATCTGGGTCCCCAAACGGGCACGGCCCGAGTGGGGTTGGAGCAGCGCAGCCCTCCCAGAGGCCCCCTGTGTTCACGGCCTGTCACAGCCCAGCCCCCGAGGGTGGCCTCTTCTGACTTCTGTCACCATTGGCTGGTGCCTCCTGTTCTGGGACTTCTTATGAAGGAGACTGATGTTTAAACACCCTTGTATGGGAACATCGAGGGAGGGTCCGCAGATGCTACAGTTGTATTTATCTTTCGTCCTGGGTAATGGACACAGACAGGCTGGTTATGGAAAAGCCACACGAGCGGTTCTGGTGTGTCTGCTGTTGGCGAAAGTGCTCGTTTCTCTTGGGGGTCCAGCCTGGGAAGGGGCCGCCGGGCAGCTTGGACCGGCGACCCTCCCCGCAGCACAGCCAGGGGGGTGGCGCTCCTTCTGCGCGCTGGGCCGTCCCGCCCACCGAAGCCTCTGCCGGGCTCCGTGCTGCCCCCTGGTGCTTTCAGTTCGCGTCCCTGGGGGGCAAGGGTGCTGAGCACCTTCTTCACACACCCGTTACCACCTCCGTCGTCGGCTTCGTGGTGCTGGCCTGTGTCTTCTGCTTTTAATCGGGTCCTTTTCCACTGTGGCCACCAGTCCCCTGTTAGATACACGTGCCCCACATCCTCTTCTACACTGTGGGTCGGCTCCTTTCGCTTCGTGTTAGTTAGCTTATGAGGAACGTGTTCTTTTCTCTTTTTTAAAGTAATCACACCCACCGTGGGGCTCGAACTCACAGCTCTGAGACCAAGAGAGTGAGAGTCATGCGCTCCACCAACTGACCCAGCCAGGTGCCCTTCCCCGCCTTTTTTTAAGTAGGTTATCGGTTCTTAACATGGTTCAGTTTATCGGTTTTTTTAAATGGCTGGTATCTTACTGAAACGCAAGTGTGATCCCAGAGTGTGCCGGAACCGTGAGCTGGAACGTGATGCTTCAGCGAGGTGGGAGCGTGCAGACCCGTGTCGCCCAGAGCGACGGGTTTGAGAGCACACACAGCCACTGCGGCTCCTTCCCTGTTTGCTTGCTCTAGAAGAAGCGAAGTACGGTACGCGAGGAGTGAAGTCAGCATTCCTGACACCTAAATTCTCTCAGGGCGGGACACGGGGGACTGTTTTGAGGGGATCCCACAAGGACTTTCCCAGCCTTCTTGCCACTGCTCAGTCAGGGAGGGAGGATGCCGGAGGCTGCCATCCGTTGGCATTAGACAGGAAAAGTTCCAAAAGGCACATTGTTCAGGTTTTTAAATTGTGGTAAGATACACGCAGTGTAAAAGTGACCATTTTAACCCTGTTTTGAGGGCAGAGTTTGGGGGCGTCAGGCTCATTCACGCTGTTGTGCCGCCGTTCCCCCCCCCCCATCC